CCACAGCATTATGTATGTGGAACTATGGAAAACCTTAAATGAGATCAGTTACGGATTTATTTTGTCACCAATTGTCTAAAATTTACCTAGCTTTTTAAAAAAACCGGAATCTCTGCTTCTGAATTTATTAAATTGTTGACCTAACAAAATCTGTTTATCTAATTGCTATGCTAATAGAATGCTGCTTCAATTAATGCAGTATACTGAAATGAATGATTCAGAAGATGTTCGTACTTCATCGATCGAACCTGACCTCCAGTTTTCTTGTGCACCTGTATGTTGATGCATCAATGCTTATCTTTGTAATTATCCTACATTAATTAGACTTGAAGACTAGTACTTCTGTTTGAACTAGTTCTCTTCAATATAATTTATTATTGGTATATAGACGTAGTAAAATTCATTTTCTTCTGTGAATGAACAGCCTTCTTTTCTAAATGTAAAGTTCATATTCTTAGTTTGTTGAGTTCATTTCTGATCAAGAAGTTTTCAAGCTTTTCCAATGTGTACCATGATTTTGTTGTGTCCTCCTTTTAATGTGTAATCATCTATCCCCCTGCTTTAAATGGCTTTGAAATATAATCACTTCTCTAGTAATATCTTAGATAGGAAATGAGATACAACAACAGGAGCTAATCAATGTGTATATGGTTGTGGAGCTTCATAACCCCCACTATCTAGATTGCTCAGCCTGTTCATGTTTACATGTAATTTTCATTAAGTATAATTAATCCTCTCTGGGTCAATTGTGTTTTCCTATGCCTTCCACCTCACTTATCTTAGATGTGATAGAGCAAACAATGTTTTTCCTTCTCCCTTTTATTCTTCAAACAGCATAATATTACCCCATATAGCAACTTATCTGGTTGATCAAGCCAAATTTTTGCTTCCGACGAACTAAAAGAAGTTTTTACCTCGCAAGTATCGGTTCTTGTAAATAGCAAGACTTCTCCAACGTGCTCTCTGAAATGTTCATTCAGGATAAACGGATCTTTGTAATTTCATGTTTCCAATATTCTAACAGAGACCTTCTACAAGTCGTGCTTCAATACAAACTTCTGTTGCCTCTTGTAGACAAAATCCTTAATGAAATCCACGCTTTTCTCTCCGGCCATACCATGTTTTCCCTGACTTGGGTAGTTTAATACAAAAAGGGATTCAGGTTGCACCAGGGACAACTGTTTTATTGAACCTCATTTTGTAGTAATGACTGTTGGGAACCCAAGATGAGAGAGAAGAATAAATAAATAAAAGAAGAAATAACAAATTAAAAATATGGATTCTTTATTTTGAAAATAGAAAAAAGTATGGAGATTTTGTTCTGAGATTGCAATTATCCATGAAATTATTCAAACAATACAACTAAAGAAAACAAAATATGGCAATAAAAATAACTTTAGAACATAGAAAACATAAATTTTGATTATTTATGAATATATACTCCAGTAAAGCATAGACTTATGAACATGAATTACATGAACTGATAGTATTAATAGTTGATTATGCTAGGGCATATAGAACGATATGCTTTGTTCCATCTTATTGAAGGTGTAAACTTATGGTGCTCACATAGCTTTGTTACTGCACCTGTGCTGAGAATAATTTCCTTTTGGGGGGAAGTTTACTCAGTCACTGACGAAATTTTCAGATAATGTTGGCATATCAAGATGCTGCAAGTTCATGACGAAATTTGATGGATTATAGTTGATATTGTCTCTTTCAGACATATGTTGGATGTATAAGTTTGTATCTCCTGCAGCTACCATGTTTCCTGATAGAAGGTCCTTATCTTCGTGTTGATGAGGTATCATCTTTGTAAGTAGCTGAAAATTCAGACCCCAATTCTCCTTGTTAGGTTGGCCTGGTAATGAATTGAAGAAACTCTGAAAAGAAGAATTTGTTTCCGGAGTATTTACTGTACTGAGTCTGTGACGATTAATTGTTTCACTACTGTTGCCTTGAAAGGTTGCTCTAGGAATAGTTTCAATTGTCTGGTCATGTCCAGTGAGTAAGGAAGCTAATAGGTGACAGCCGTTTGATAAAAAATAATCTGCAAACATTTCTCTGCCATCATCTATATAAACTGAAGGGTGTTCCTCAATCCTAGGAAGGTACTCCAGAAGTTCACCAGAATTCTGTTGAACCTCCCATGCATTCTTTGACTTGTTGCCTTTTTGTCGAACACGACACAATACCCAGTCATCCAGCTGCTTAAAATGATAACCTTTCCATTATGCATGATTCCTTACATTTAAATGCATATTCACATAATCTATGATATGTAATCACATGCTTAGACATTTTATTATCCAATATAGTTATTGAAAATTATGGACCACATGGCATAGAACTTTTTGGTAGCTGAAGAATTTACTAATTTAAGCTGTTTGAGTTCAAAGTTGTGTCACCAATAATTTGCTAAATGAAACAGGTAGATATATTGACTAGACCAATGAAATTGGAAATATAACCGAATGTCCTATTTGTTTATACTCATTTTTTTATTGCTATATTGATATGCCTCCAATGTGACTTTAGGCGCCCAAATTTGATCGGAAAACAGTTTTCTGCTCACAAAATAGCTTTTACAGAATAAATTCAGTGATAATGGAAGTTTATATGAAATACTAGGTAATTGGTAATCAATGACAAATGTGAAACTGCTTACTCTCATGGACCCTTTAGACTGTAACGGTCTAGAAGTCATGCCACACAGTCTGTACTCAGTCATGACCCAATCTGTCTTGACCCCTTTTGGTGGTTTACCTTTATAGAATATAAGATCTTTCTTAACCCCTATCCGTCCTGAACCAGAAGAACCAACAATTGGCTTATCGGTGCCAGTAGCCTTCCAGAAACCTGAAGCGGCTGTTCTATTGGGTCTTCCCCCGTTTGGATACTTCCTATCCCTTGGGGTGAAGAAGTACCATTCATCTTCTCCGAACAAAGCCTTCTCTGTATGTTTCAAAAACCAAAAATAAAATAATTGTAATATCCTGGAAATTGAATACTGTCTGATAATAAAAACAAAGAAAGAGAAGTTGGTAGAGAACAAACTGGGTAGCTCCCAAGGGTTATACTTATAAAGCTCTATATCAGTCATCAGGTTTGCTGGAAGTGGAAGTGACTTTACTTTCTTCTGCAAGTAATAAATAATTAGTTCTTCATCAGATGGATGAAATCTTATTCCTGGAGGAAAGTGGGAATTGTAGAGGGACTTTTCATCCATTGAAAAATTTCTCTCTTTTTTCCCCCTCCGAGGGCACTCTGGAAAATAATGTCTCTTGCAAGCACAGTGCCAAAGTATATAAGGTGCGAGTTTATGGCTTCATGCAGATGCTGACATTCCTTAAAATATTGAATATATGGAGATAAGATAACTTATATGATGTTAAAGAAATAGATCGGGAAAGCAACGTTTTGCATCACGTGTTGGAATAGGATGACATGAATTTTCCTATTTCCTTCCTCGAAAAGAAGCTTTGAAATTTTTTAATGCTTGATATTATTTTACGCGTGTATTTTTATGCTGCTACTCTTCAATTTATCATGTCTTTGTGGAGTTTGCATCGATGCACATGGATGTTGTATTGATTTTTTGATTACCTGTTATTATGCGAATATGCAGTTTGGAAGTTCAAGTATTGAAGGTTGAGAAATTGTACAACATTTCAATCTCCAATATATAGAAAATTTCAACTAATGAAGAACCTTCTCTGATGAGCCATAAAATGGTAATTACTGGATAATTCACAATATTTTCTTAAATCGTAATTCTGTAGTTGTACACACATTGTAGGGCAAAAGAAGTGAATAAAATGTTTAGTTATGCTGTGTTTAATTTACTTCCAGGTTCAATAATATTTACCTGATTGATTACTACTGCTGCAGTTTTAGTTTATCTGATTCTGCTGTGTTATGCTACGAACTCCTTTATGGTAAGTCATGGATAGAAATGAAGTAATTATGTCAAGTGCTTCTGAAATTTAATAAATATGATATAGACAGTATAATTTTTTGATTTGGATAATTGGTCCGAATGTGACTTCTTCAGATACTTTCCACGCCCATATAGACATTTCTTTCCAACAAAATTTTTAAGGTCAAGACCTTGTATTGTATATGTATAGATTCTGTTTTTTTACTCTTTCTGATATTACATGCTCACACTATTCTCTGGCCCGAGGTTCCCAGCGTGTTATATTTGTCGTTTCCTGTATTGATGTGATTGAAAGAGCATAACAGCCGCACAACTTGCTGGCCAAATTACTTCCAAAATATTGCATGTAGTTTTTGGCTTTTTCTTTAACCTTATTGCTTCTATCCCCGATCATAGGCTCATATGCATGTTTTGAACAGATAGATGTACATTATAGAGTTCTATTATTCAAGTATAAGGGTTTGTTTGATTCAAAAAATTTCCATGGAAATGGCCTTTTTTAACCCAAATTTCAACTTTTGGAATGGTTGATTGCCTTTTCTTTCCATGGAAAATGTTGGATTTTATGCGCAATTATAACGAGATGAAAGAGAGAAATAACACAAGTATTTACGTGGTTCAGCGGTGTGTTTATTCAGTATGAAAAATAGGATTACAATATTATTATTTATACAAACCATAGTCTAGGCCCATACAGGACTTTAAGACCCGTACAAGAAAATACCCCTGGACCGTACCGCAGGAGCGTTGCCCCTGCACCCCCACCCATTCAGCGTCCCTAGCAACTAGACAATGAATTAAATTCGCGCAAAGCCGATGTTGTCGCTACGCTCCCCTCACTGCACTCTGCTTTGTTCCAGCATCGGTCTATTTGATTCAGAAAATCTGCTTTCCACTCTATATGAGTCACATATACAACAGAAAAATATTTTACGAAATTGAAAATATGTCTAATTTTCCTTGTTTTTTATGAAAACATTTTCTTTGGGGGAGGTAGGTTCTTCTGAGGAAAATATTTTCCTTTCTAAAAAACAATTTTTATTTCAATCAAATACACCCAAAGTGATTTCTGATAAACTTGTATGTCAAAGTTGTGCATGTTGGTGCAAAAGAATGCCTCTCCCAAGTCCACAATCACCCACCCCATACCCGGGGACGACCGGTAGATTGTTGTGTCGATATTATCTATACCCTTTTTGAGCAGTACAGTCGACAATATCCATGTCTGATGTTGTCTCTTAGCAGATGACTACAGATTTAGATTTAGTGTTAAAAGAGAGGAAAATATGCCTAAAACCTTGTCAAAATCGAACTAAATGCCGTTTTGTAAGACGAAAAAGATAACAAATCCTAGGGAAGATATGGTTTATTTTGTGTTATTTAATTTCTCAAGTTCTTGGTAATGATAGCTCAACAAGACAGTCTCTCTGAAGTAACAAAGTAATTAAGATTGAATCTTTAATCCACATGCTAAGAACAATCAGATATATGATATTTATGCAGATAATTCTTAATTTAGAAATATCGGTATTTCTAACTATAGAAGTTGTGACTTTTAACTTTTAAGTAGAGATGATTGAGCACTTGGAATGTGGTTGTGATCTTTTTGGATTGGTCGTCCTTGGGTCGGTTATTCGATAAAAATATCAATTATCATAAAATAATAAAGAAACCATAAATAGTGAAGCCGAGAAAAGTAAAAGCAAAAATAACCGAATCCTTTCACGATGTTTTGAACTCAACTCACGTCGACTTAAGTCGACAAACAATTGAACTCTTGAGACCTTCAACTTCAAGATGTGATGAGTCGACATCGAGGTGGTGATGGCTTTGTACTTTTACTTCATGTTAGCTATAGACTACGGGCTTGTCCCTTGAGTTGGAGAAATCATGGCCATTTATTTTGCAACTCGAAAGTAAAATCTGATTATGAACATATTATTGACTTCTCGAACTTGTTAATATATTTTTATTATATCTAGTAGGATTGTTAAACCTTATTACAGTTTATTATTAAATAGATAGAAAAATTGATGTAGACTAGTCAAAGTAGGTTGGTTTTTATTTAGAGAAAATTAGGTGCAGCCCTTTTCTTAATTTTTGATAATGGACGACTATTGAGAATCAATTTGAAAAATAAGACTTTTTGAAAATTAATTAATTATATAATACTGAATTTTTATTATTATTGTCGTTTATCATGTTATTCTACTATGCTTTCTAGTTCTACAATCTGTTCTTAAATTAGTGCATTACAAGACTTACCAATAAAAAACACAACAAAGATTACGAAGAACCCATGAAATCCCATTTTTCACAGCTGAAGAAATTCTGTACATTCAAAACCTACGAAAGAAAACATAAATATATTTTAGAAACTTAAAATGAATAAGTTGCAAATAAAGAAACTGTTGACACATGAAAATTCAGTCCAAATCGAACGGCCCAAGGAGTGAAGCCCAATTGGAGGATCCCCAAATCAGATAGCCCAAAGAACGAAACCCAATCAAACAAATCAAGATGAAGGCCCAAATAGGGAGGCCCAAGAACGTGGTAACGCCATCACCCAAGTTTGCAAGTCGCCCATAATCTGAGCGAATGGTGTGCCATACAGTTGCCTAGAGCTGTTGCTCTATTCTCGCCCAAACCTTCAAGTCGCCCAAGGTCTTAACAAACATAAAGCGTCGTGGTTATCAAGAAGTGCAGTTATCAAAGCAGTTATTAAAACAGCCCTATCACGTTCCACAATTCAAGGAATTCAATCGAAAGCGGTTGAACGACGAAGAGTAATGACAGCAGTTAAAAAGGCAGTTTTCATGACAAGTTGGCCATTACGAGGAAAGTGGGCAGTTATAGGACGATCAAGCAGTTTTTAGGCGGTTGATCACAAAGAGATCGTCTATGAAGTATAAAAGAGAGAAAAAAACATAGAGCAAAGGACCGAATCAAAAACTCTCGAACAGAGAACATGTAATTTTAATTTCCTTAGCTTAGATTTAAACACTTTTCTTTCAGTAACTCGTGTGTTTGCACCCCTTGGAGGCACATTGTTTTTAATTTCCAATTGTAAAGTCATCGCCAATAAAAGAACACCCATTTTTGAGACTTTGTCTCAAGAAATTTGTCTCTTACACAATCGTCTGATCCCTTTTAATTGTTAGCGACTAACCCGCGCGAAACAGAAACATATTTTTATGTACATTTCAGAATCTTAACCTAGTATGTTGCAACAAGTTGTAGCACGAAAAATTCAGAATCATACTTCCAATTTAACTTGCCGAAATCAAAGCATCATTTGTTGGTCTTAGATAATTTGAACCCAACCACGAATGCCTTGAACAAACTCCTCCTACATCTGCCTTTTGTGCGAAAATTTTTATAAATTTGATTGAGTATAAAAATAGTCCCGTAAGAACAAGTTCAACCATACTTATACTTTTCGATCAAGTTGATTGATCATGTTCTTGAATTAACGAAACTGTGAAACAGTTATATTTGACTTTTTAAATTGCACTTCATGCATTAATAATAAGTCCCTTTGGCCCCTATTTTCTTTTTCTTTTTCTTTTTTTTTCTCTCTCTTTTTTCAATTACACAATCTTTCATAAAATAATATTATACATAAATTGAATTTTTTTTTATTCTTTTTCAACCACACATTTTAAAAAAAAACAGTACTTCAAACATTAAAATTTGAAAAAAAAAATGAGGGCCAAACGGGGGCTAAGTAGAATAACATAAACAAAAATAGATTCTCATTTTCATCTCAATTATGACGCTTAGAGTCTGTTCGGTAAAAATTAAAATTCAGATTTTAATTTAAATTAAAGTCAACAATTAATTTTAACCACACATCTCATGGGATCCACAACTTTTTAACCACACATTTCATTAATATTTATCAAAATTTATTAACAATCTGATTTTAATATCAAATGCTAAATTAAAATATAATATGACATTTATTCCAAATAGAACCGATTCGAACTTCTTCTAGAATAGTTGCCAGGTGCACCATTCCTTTAATCAATTAATGAAATAAATAAATAATGTGATAGTTGATTATTTAAATGACAAATTATTGGCACATAAAAATTCAGCCCAAAGCGAATGACCCAAAGAATGAAGTCCAATGGAAGGATCCCCAAATAAGAGAGTCCAAAGAATGAAGCCCAATCAGACAATTCAGGATGAAGGCCCAAATAGGGAAGCCCAGGGACGCAGTAACACCATTGCCCAAACTTGCAATTCGCCCAGGATCTGAGTAAATGGAGTGCCATGCAGTCGCCCAAAACTGCTACTCTATTCTCGCTCAAACCTTCGAGTCGTCCAAGGTCTTAGCAAACATGAAATGTTGTGGTTATCAAGAAGTGCAATTATTAAAGCAGTTATTAAGCAGCCCTATCACGTTCCACGATTCAAGGAATTCAATCGAAAACGGTTGAACGACGAAG